CATGAATCAGAAGAACAAATATTGTAAAATATCCATGCTATCCAAACCAATCTACAAATTTAATGCAATCTCTATCAAAATAACAACACCATTTTTCACAGAACTAGAATTACCCTAAAATTTGTATGGAACCACAAAAGACCCTAAACAGCCAAAGCATTCATGAAAAAGAACAAAACTGGAGATATCAAAATCCCAGATTTCAAGATATTCTTCAAAGCTACAGTAATCAAAGTAGTATGGTCATTGCACAAAAACAGACAAATAGATCAATGGAACAAAATAGCTCAGAAATAAATCCATGCTTACATGGTCAGTTAACCTATGACAAAAGAGGCAAAAAATATACAATGGGGAAAAGACAGTCTCTTTAACAAATGATGCTGGGAAAACTGGACAGCTACATGCAAAAGAATGGAACTGGGCCATTTTCTTATACTATATCAAAAAAATAAACTCAAAATGGCTTAAGAACCTAAATGTGAGACCTTAATGAAACTCCTAGGACAAAACACAGGCAGTAATTTCTTTGACACTGGTGATCACAACATTTTTCTGGATATGTCTCCTAAAGCAAGGGAAACAAAAGTAAAATTAAATGTTTGGGACTACACTAAAATAAAAGGCTTTCGTACAGAGAAGGAAACCACCAACAACTAAAAGTCAACCTGCTGAATGGGAGAAGGTATTTGCAAATGATATATTCAATAAGGGGTTAATATCTAAAACATATAAAGAACTTATAGCACTCAATACCAAAAAAACCCTAATCCAATTAAAAATGGGCAGAGGATCTGCATAGACATTTTTCCAAAGGTGACATACAGATGGCCAACAAACACATGAAAAGATATTCAACATCACTCACCATCAGGGGAGTGCAAATTAAAACCACAATGAGATATCACTTTATAGTTGTCTGAATGGCTAAAATGAAAAAGATAAGAAATAACAAGTGTTGGCAAGGATGTGGGGGAGAAAAGAACCCTCATGGTCTGTTGGTGGGAATGCCAATTGGTACAGCCACTGTGGAAAACAGTATGAAGGCTCCTCAAAAAATTAAAAATAGAATTGCCATAATCCATAATCCATAATTCCATGTTGGGTATTTACCCAAAGAAAATGAAAACACTAATTAGAAAAGATATATCCACCCTTATGTTTATTGCAGAATTATTTACAATGGCAAAGATATAGAAGTGACCCAAGCATCCATCCCGATGGATGAATGGATAAAAAAGACATGGCATGTACACACACACACACACACACACACACACACGCACGCACGCACAGGAATATTACTCAGCCATGAAGAATAATGAAATCTTGGCATATGAATAATGAAATAAGTCCATCAGAGAAAGACAAATACCATAGAGTATTCCACTCATATTTGGAGTTTAAGAAACAAAACAAATGAACAAAGAAAAAAGACAAAAAGCCAGACTCTTAAATAGAGATAACTGGTACTTGCCAGAGGGGAGGTAGGTGGGGGGTTGGATGAAACAGGTGAAGGAGATTAAGAATACATTTATCTTGAACACTGAGAAATGTATGGAATTGTTGAATCATTATACGCCTAAAACTAACAGAACACTGTATGTTAATTATATTTCAATAAAAATTTTTTTAAAGACTTTTATTTATTTGAGAGTGAGCAAGAGAGAGAGAGAGAGACAGCATGAGCAGGGGGGAGGGGCAGAGGAAGAGGGAGAGGAAGAAGCAGACTTCCTGCTGAGCAGGGAGCCCAACATGGGGCTTGATTCCAGGACCCCAAGATCATGACCTAAGCCGAAGGCAGACTCTTAACAGACTGAGCCAGCCAGGTGCCCCAATAAAAAAATTTTTAAAGACAAAAATAAATACATAAACATTTAGATAACATTATGAATGTAAGGACACTAGTTTTGTTTTGGCATATAAAAGATATCCAATGAAAGATAGTTCTTATTGTTTAGTCTGTATCCAAAGTAAATACCTTTTCCCCAAATCTGATTTAATTATGCCCTTGATAACTTTGTTAGTGAGTTACTATTGTCATCAAGTAAAATGGAAGTCTTGGTGTGTGTGTGGAGGGGAGGCGTCCTTCACAATAGCTACTTTTGAATAAATGGAAAGTTAATCTGGGAAGAGTCTGTACAACTTCAAAAGGACAGTGATAAACAGACCTAAGGGAGCCATCCCTGATTCCCATCTGCTGGTAGTCACATGACCTATAATCCTCTCCTGAGTGCAGGCAGGACCTGTGCCTTTCTTACAACCAACAAATATCATAAAGGTGATTAGATATCATTCCTGTGATCATGTTGTATTATAAAGTCTCTGTATTAGTAGACTGGAATTAGACTTTCTCTGCTGTGTTGTAAGGTAACTATGGAGAGGGCCACACGGCAGTGAATTGTAGGCAGCACCTAGAAATTGTGAGCAGCTCCCAGACAAGAGTCAACAGGAAAACATGAATTTCAGTCTTCTGCCAGCAACCTCAGGGCACCTGTTTGTGGAGCTTTCCTCAGTCAAACCCATGATGAGACTGCAGCCCATCCTGACATCTGGATTTTAGCCTGGTCTGACCCTAAAGCAAAGAAGCCAGCTAAATTGTGCTTATATATCTGACATACAGAAAGAGTGAGATAATAAATGTGTGTTGTTTTAAGCCAGTAAATTGTTGTAATTTGTTACACAGAAGTAGAAAACTAATATAAAAATCATAGACAGAAAATACAGAAGAGCAAAATTTGGTCAAATATAAGCACACACAACTGATAAATTGTTGAACACTACATCTGAAACTAAACAAATAGCCAACCTATGTGTTGGCTAATTGAGTTTAAATTAAAAAAACAAATGTAAGAAGGACATGACACTAAAAAGAGCTGTCTAAAAATGCAATGAACTTCATCCAAGAATACTAAATTCCTCATTGCTGAAAGGGTTTAAGTGGTGAGAATGTTGTTAGTGCATCAGATTGAGTTGGTGATCTTCACAGGGCTCCTTCCACATTAAAAATGACAAGATTTTAAGTACTCATTATCACCAATGACCTAGAATGGTAAGTCCTATGGATAAATACAGTCTCTGCTTACACAACTAACGCTGCCAATATTCATATTCTCAACCAGCAAAAGATCATATAACTGGGCCACTTCCTTTTAAATTCCCAAATAAAGAGACAAAGATAAACTCTTTGCATATTATTTTTTTAAAGCACAACATAGTAGTATTTGGGTTAAAAAGCAATTATATTCATAAAACTTCATGCTTTCAACAATTCTAAGAATTCGTTAAAAAATGCTATATCCATGCAGCCTGGTTCTGGTGCCAGGAGGAAGTAGATGATTTAAAAATTACCAAATGAAAAGGTAAGATAATACTGAGAGGAGATATCTGTGGATATATCTGTGGATAAAGGACTTGTATCCAGAATATATATATAAAATTCCTACAACTCAATCATAAGGACACAAACAATCCAGTTAACACTTGGGCAAAAGGTTTGAATAGAGATTTCACCACAGAAGATATTCAAATAGCTGATAAGCACCTGAAAATATACTTAACATCATTAGTCACTAGGGAAAATATGAACTAAAACTACAATCAGCTCTTACTTTATACCCATGAACATGGCTATAGTAAAAACGACAGGAACAATTGCTGCCAAGGAGAGAGAGAAACAATGAGCTCTTTTGCATTTCTGATAGGAATGTGAAATGGTGCAGCCATTTTGGAAAACAGGCTGGCAGTTTCTTAAAAAATTAAACATAAATTTACCATACAACCCAGCGATTTTACTCCTACATATCTACTGAGGATACCAGAACTGAAAACATATGCCTGCCCAAAAACCTGTATGTGAATGCTCATAGCAGCATTATTCATGATAGATGAAAAGTCAAAACAACCCAAATATTCATCTACTGATAAATGGAGAACTGCAAAGTGATAAACCCACACAACAGAATACTCTTTAGCAATAAAAAGGAAGGAACTACTTGTACATGCTGTAATGTGGATGGACCTCTACAGCATTACGCTAAGTGAGAGAAGCCAGATGGAAAGACCATATATGGTATGCATCCATTTCTTTGAAAATTCCATAAATTCAACTATATAGGCAGAAAATATATTAAGTGATCATCTGGAGTAGGGTGTAGGAATGGGAGAGACTGAAATGGGCACAAGGGATACTTTGGCATGACAGAAATGTTCTGAAATTGGACTGTGGTATTGGTTGCATGATTCTATAAATTTGCTAAAAGTCATTCAATTGTCCACTTCAAATAGGTGAATCTTATGGTATATAAATTATACCTCAATAAAACCATTTTTAAGAAATGCTTCCTTTTAAAATACTACCCATTAGAGATAGTAACCTCATTTAAAAGTAGGGATACACAAATTGTCTCAGGGACTCCTGCCTGCTAAGTGTAGGATCTAGTTGGGTTCAAAAGCAAACCTCATGAATTCAGGCTTCCATCATTTGGGTGGGGGACAGGAAGAAGACGATTGATGTCTGTCCCAAGGGAAGGCGTTCGGAAGCAAATTTACCATATACACAAGCTAACAAGGGCAGCGTTGTAATGTCTACAAAGAACAACCTTTTCAATTCCCTGTGGGTATTTTAAAAGCACCCATTTTAACATGAGGATCTGCTGATATAAAGTATTCTTACACAATAGATTAGCAGATCTTTTCACGTCCCTGCAGTATATTTGATAGCATAATTTGAATTTCTGCATTTAAATATTTAAAATATCATCTAATTCAGACATCTTATTTTCAGATAGGTCTTTCCACTTCCACCCAAGTTTGTTTAAATGAGAGCCATTCATAGCTGGAATTATTAATCTAAATATACCATGACCAAGAATATGTATACACATATCATGCACTGACACATTCTAAGGAACAGAGGCTATACAGGTAGCGAAAAATGCATATTTAACTTTTGAGTGACCAAGGAAAAACATTTTTTCCCTAACATTGCAATTATGTACCTGGAATGTGATGGGCCTCTTTCCTGGGAAGTCTGGGAGGACAGACTTCCATCGAAGGAGTTTCCTCGGTGGCAGCCTGAAATCGTGGCCTTGGGTGACATGGGATCTGACTGGAAAGTTTCACAGACCACCTGGAGTCCCTTTTGGAGGTAGAGATAACAGATTAATCTTCCTTCCTTCCTTCCTTCCTTCCTTCCTTCCTTCCTTCCTTCCTTCCTTCC